CTAAGTTTTCAATTCAGCTAAGTTTTCCTCAGTCCACTAACGTATGAACCTAGGGGGGTTAGGATAACTCCCATATGAAAAGGTCGGGGATGCTCGTCGGAAAATATAAACACCTTAAGGAGACCGTTCTTGGCTTGGTGCGAGCTTTATTTGACCTCTAAAAGATACCACTTAAAACGCAGTTAATAGGCTCGATTACTAGCCGCTGTTCAGGTAAGGGCCCCGCATTAGTAGCCCGGACTCGATTGACCGGAGGAAATCGAGCCTAAGAAAGGAGTTCTTCAAATGTACCCTAAAAGATACTTTGAAAAGTAAAAACTGTGACTATCCGTCATGAACACACTACGTGAGACCAGAATTCTTGGTTTATACCCCTAAGCTAGGCGACGGGCATCTGCGACCTTTCCATTTGGGAGTACCCCCGTCGCGTATCAACTGGGTGATTGCATTGGTGTAGTAGTGTCTATAGGCCACAGGCAAAATAAATCAATGCAATCTCATCAACCACTTTAGCAGACCGCGGTATTCAATGATTAATTATTAAACCATTAGTCTACTAACCCACTGATGTTTGCAAGTCGGTATAAGGGTTTCTCCTTGTTCGTATCCCCTCCTTAAGTCTGAAGCCATTTCTTCAGTCCAAGTGATATTCATGGCAACAAGAGGGTTGTAATGCAATGACTTCACATGTGGTTTAAGGTATGGACTGAAATAAGGAAGAAAAGAAAGGTCATTGACTTTTTGATGTCCAATTCAATATTTACCACCTACTCAGCTGCCTATAGCTAGTTTATATGGTTACGTTTGTTTCCAGTGTGGTAAAATATTGTTGTCAGTTAGCGAAGTTCACAACCAAGTAATATTTTATATTATTGCAATAACTTTAATGTTCATTGTTGTCTTTCAAGAGGAAGCAAGTAGAAAATTGACAAGGCGGTGTTTATGGGCGAAAGAAGTGCATGTAGCGCAACGTTTAAGGTACAAAAAGACAACAAATATATTTTGGCGACTTTTCATCCACATTTTGCGTCATAAAGAAATGTTATTTTTGGACAATATTTTGTATCGTCAAGCTGACAGTAAACATCTCCTGAAGGTATTTACGTAGTTAAACGACGCATAAGAGTTGGCCGCGTTGGGTATCTAAAACTCGGAAATGAAACAGACTTTTTAGTTTAGGCGGTTTGTTTTCCCATTTCAGACCACGTGGCATCCTCAAGATAATTTTTTTCATCCATCTAAGTTATTTATTCACATTCACGAGACTGATTTAAAATTTTAAAGCAAGAATTCTCAAGAGTACAATGACATGGTCTGAAATGGGGCAACAAACCTCCCAAGCTGAAAAGGTCTTTTGTAGCTGTCTGCAGTCCAGACTCCAATCAAGAGGAAAAAAATAGCAGTTTTGTTAAGTGTCTGCGTGTTGCTTTCTGTTCCCATATTCGACTTTTACTGTTTGGAAATTTAATTCTTATTGACTACTATTATCAGGGCATTATACTCAGCATACATTGAAATTTTTATTACCTGGTTGAAGAGACAGAAACCACGAGGAAAATTTGTCATCTCAAGACATAGCTAAACTTCGCAACTAGCTTTACTCGTAAACTACAAATTGAAGTATCTCCACCAATCAAATCGCGGAACTCTCATTAGAATGCTAGTATAATTCTACCATATCAAAAATACTTACAAGTACTTTCCAATGAATTCATGGACTGGCTTGTATTGAATGCTGTTGCAGCTTGGTTCTTTTACCATCCGTGGGTAGTAAAATAACATACTTAAACACATCTCCTGAGATGTAGCCGTACCACCCTAAATGTTACACATATAATGTTACACAACATATAAATAACAGTCTGATTTCTTTACACAAGCCTCTAGCGTCAAACGCTAACCATATTTAAATGAAGCTACTGACTTAAAAGAGCATACCAGGTGTTTCTAATGTTCTGTTCTCGTTACAGCAAGTACAATACAGGTTCATGTTGACACGTTGAAAATGGACAAACATGCTTTTAACCTTCTTACTCTATAAACCAAAATGAGAATACTTAACAATTATTCCACGAGCGCGCGTTGGATATGAGATGGTAAATAGCCAACGAGGCCCGTAGGGCCGAGTTGGCTATAACCAATCTCACATCCAACAAGCGCGAATGGAATAATTGTTTTATTAAATTCGGTGCGTTTGTGTTCTTGGAAATATAGCTTAATTTTATTGGATTTTAATTTTACGAAACGACCGGACGTCGATGCGACAAAAACAACAACAAGTGGGAAATCACATGACATGCGCGCCGTTTGTAAAATTAGTTGAATGAAAAATTTGAGAGCGAAGCAAGCGAATTTGCTGAA